TGTGAGTTCAATACCTGGTTAAGGCAGTGGAGAACTTTCAGAGGGGAATTAACAGGAGATAACTGATAACTGACATCCAATAAACATGACATGTGGAACTAGAACAGTCTACCCCAGTGAGCGAAATAAAGGGTTCAGTTCGACATTCCAACCACCTGAAGAAGGCTGGAGCGTACAATGGCTGAAACGTTGTGATAAACATGGCGACAAAGATGAGTCCGAATAATGTAAATAGTGTACATAATACCTCATCTCAGAAATATAGATAGATACTGAAGGGCCGAAACATTGTAATAAATATGGCGACAATTATGAAGACAATAGTCCGAATAATATAAATAGTGTACATAATACCTCATCTCAGAAATATAGACAGATACTAAAGTTTAGATTTATCAAAAAAATACATGTTTAATGTTTCAGTCAATACATTTGTTTGTAAATGTTTATTGGACACACTATTTATGACATATTACAGGCTACTAACTAGTAAAGACACATTTATATGTAAAAAAAAATAAATTTTAAAAAAAATATTAATACAAAAAACTTAATAAAAAAATTAAATATATACACACATGTGAAACGTTCATTCTGGAAGAAGTAAGTACGGCAACAAGACACGGGAAAGCATGGAGAGACAACTTGACAAACCTTTGAAACAAAGAAAAAAAAGAAAAAAAGAAACAATAATGAAAATTTTAATGAAATTTAAAGATTTTCAGAACATTTTTTTCAACATTTTCAAGGCTTGCAAGTGCTTCATAATGCGTCCATTCTAAGACATTCGGAAAATATTTTATTTTATGAATATCAATTTTAATTGCCCAATCAGAATTCACAGAATGTTCTAGTCCAGTGTTTCTCAATCAGTGTGCTTGGGTACACTTATGATCCTTAAAATGTAGCCATCTGTAGACCAAAATCCACAGAAGAACGTTTTATGAATTATTTTTCTATTTAAACAAAATCTTTATTTTTAAAAAGCTAGAGATACCAAGCATAGGGCTTCCATATCTAAAGTCAATTGATGTTTCAATTGATGATGTTGGCTTATCTACAAACAATGAACAATACAATTGGATTTGCAGTTTGACGTTTCAACTGATGATGGCATATCATTAACAAAAGAAGAGCTGGTCATTATATCTGCAAATCATGGCTTACAAATCAAGCATACAGAGCTGTCCATTGATCCATTTTTGGATTTCCATTCTAGAAGAATATCCTTCAAGAGCTAATAAAGCATTGAATATTTTATTGTAACTTTCATCATACCTTTGTTAATTAGGATTATCTGTACCTTACCAATATTAAATATTGCAAAAAATTGATCAAATCTTAAATTTCATTGATGGGGAAATCAAAGTATATTTATTACATATAAAGAATAAGATTTTTAAAAAATTGCCAAATCAGTTCAAGCACAGTGTTATGGTCCGGTTCCTTGTCCCACGGTGATAGTCCAAGGTAGAACCAATAAAGAAGAACTCGAATACGGATATGGAATAACACAGATATATTACAATAAGGAATATATACAGAGAAGTAGAAAGTGTTAGTACGAACAATCAGGTTTAGTAGTAATTGTCTGAACGCGACTCTGTTTCGGACTGCCTCTGACTCGACTGACTGACTCCTGGCGGACTTCACTCCAGACTTCAGACTGAACAGTATTTAGTCACCCACCCACGAGGGCATCATGTGGCACAAGACAGGTTTAACGTGGGATCTCCGAGCCCGTTGGCTCGGCCAAAAATATGCCCTTTGAACCCGTATAAACGGGTTCAGGATCGGTTTATCTCCCCGAAAGAGACTCCGCCCTTTGGCGTAGCCTCGTTCGGGTTCCTCCCCGCCTGAAGGCAGAGAGTTCAACCGATCAGCCGGTCAACCGGTCGCCCGACTTCGGACTGAACTCTCTGCTTCCTCTTGAGGCGAAGTATTTATTACGTATGGAATAGTCCATTATGTTATTATGGGTAAGGTCCCATAACACACAGGTTTCACACAAACTCGCCTCGTAAATATTGGTCCTAAATGTCCAACCCGCTGTAACCTTCCCCATGTATACTCTGCCATTATATTAGATGACATCATCAAAAATAACGCATACTTTGACCACAAACAGTCAGAGTTTGAAAGCCATTATTTTGGGGCGGGTTTGAGTGTGGTGAATGCTAAAGGGTTAAATATACAATGTAATGTCTTAAAAATAGATGCTTACTTCAGGAAACTTCTTTCATCATCTTCCTTTTTACAAATTTCATGACTAATTTTTCCTTATTAAAATCGAAGACAAGAATTTTAGTTATTCTAAAAGTGTACCCTTAATTAAAAACTGTTGAGAAACATTGTTCTGATGAATTGGGATCTTTAAGGAAGGGATAATTATTTCCCATTTGCTTTCCTATGGGGATTTTAAGTCAGTCATTATCAGTCTTTCTAAAAAGAATAGCAGACTCTTCATAAATCCCTTTAAATGAAAACTGTACAACTTAAATATACAATGTAATGTCTTAAAAATAAATGCTTATTTCAGGAGATTTATTTAGCATTTTCAATTTTCAAATTTCATGTCTAATTTTTCCTTATTAAAATTTAAATCAGTCATTATCAGCCTCTCTATTTAAATTTAGATTGTCCAGCAAAAGAAAAGAATGTTACTCTTTTGGTGATGAGAATATTGAAACCTGTCCTTGTGAGGTAAGGCAGCCATTTGCAATTTTTTTGACTGAATTCCAAAATGAGGCTCCATTGTCTGCATAGATTGGAGTTTCTCAACTAGTGCACCCAGGCACACTAACACACCCTGAAAGTTAGCCTGGTTCACCCCAAATTAAGAGAAAAGTAATTCATGAATTATTTTCTTATTTAAAAAACAAAATGATATTTAAAAAAAAAACATAAAAACATCAAGTTCATGTCTTTCATGCCTAATCAACTGTCATTTCAATTGATGACATTGGCTTATCTATAAACACCATGATTGGATTCGCAGCTTAAAGATCCCAATTCATCAGAACAATGTTTCTCAATAGTTTTTAATTACTTCTTTTATCATCTTCCTATTTTCAAATTTCATGACTAATTTTTCCTTATTAAAATTTAATGTATATACCAGAATTTTAGTTATTCTAAAAGTGTACCCTTAATTAAAAACTTGAAAAACATTGTTCTGATGAATTGGGATCTTTAAGGAGGGGATAATTATTTCCACTTTGCTTTCCTATAGGGATTTTAAGTCAGTCATTATCAGCATTTCTAAAAAAAATAGCAGACTCTTCACAAGACCCTTTAAATGAAAACTGTACAACTTAAATATACAATGTAGTCTTAAAAATATTATCGTAGCCATTTCATTGATGGTCCAACTGGTGATGTTAGCTTATCTATAGAAAAAGAACAATACTATTGGCGTTTCAGTCCTTTCATTCATGTTTCAAATGGTGACGTTGGATTATCGTTAAGAGAAGAGGGGGACCTGGTCATTATATCTGCTGAACATGGCTTACAAATCAAGCATATAGAGCTGTCCATTGATCCATTTTTGGATTTCCATTCTAGAAGAATATCCTTCAAGAGTTAATAAAGCATTGAATATTTTATTGTATCTTTCCACATCATACCTCTGTCAATTGGGATGTTCTGCAACTTACCAATATTAAATGCAAAAATTAATCAAATATTAAATTACATTGATGACAAAATGAAGGTATATTCATCACATACAAATAATAAGATTCAAAATAATTACCAACTTGCATCAAGCACAGGTTTCACACAAGCAGACCATTTGCATTCAATCCACCCAAATTCGCCTCATGAATATTATTTCTTAATGATCAACCCACTGTAACCGGCGCGATGTATACTCTGCTATATTATATGATGACATCATCGCAAATAACATAGGAAGTCACACAAACAGTGAGACTTTGAATACAGCGAAATTTTGAGAGACGATACTTATGGGAAGGGTTTGAGCATGTTTAATGTTTAAGGATTAAAATAAATATAAGCTTTCAATGTTCCACCTGCCCCCCCCCAATTGCCAAAGAATATCAAGCATGGGTTTCACTCAAGCATACTACAACACTAAACCTTCAACCCACTTAAACTCACACCGTAAATACTGGCTCTCAATGTTCAGCCAGGCATAACCCGGCAAATGTATATTCTGGCAAAATATATGATAGCATCATCGCAATTTATGAAGACTTTGACTACAAATAGAGCGGTTTCGAGAGCGATATTTACGAGGGTTTTGGGTGTGGTGAACTTACAAGACTTTGGGTCAAGTCACTATTTGGATTACGTCATCCAACGCTTTTATCCACTGGATAAATGTTATGTGTATCACCCGAAGAAGGCCGGAGCGTGCAACGGCGGAAACGTTGTGAATATGACAATAAAAATGAGGACAACAGTTAGAAGAATATAAATAGTGTAAATGGTTACAGTAATTCATCTCAGAAATATAGACAGATCCTGAAGAAGGCTGGAGCTTACAACGACCGAAACGTCGTGAATATAATAATAAAGATGATGACAACAGTCCGAATAGTGAAAATAATTAAAATGCCTCATCTCAGAAATATAGACAGATCCTGAAGAAAGCCGGAGCGTACAACGACCGAAACGTCGTGAATATAACAATAAAGATTATGACAACAGTCGGAATAGTGAAAATAATTACAATGCCTCATCTCAGAAATATAGACAGATCCTGAAGAAAGCCAGAACGTTCAACGGCTGAAACGTTGTGAATGTGATAACAAAGATGAGGACAACAGTGCGAACGATGTAAATAGTTGCAATACCTCATCTCAGACAGACACAGAAAAACTCGTAAAAAAACTGAAATGAATCTGTTCACTACTTTGAAAAGCCAAAGCCTCCAGAGAATTAGAAACGGGATAATAAAGATCTCTCTCTCTCTCTCTCTCTCTCTTCCAATTCAGAACCGTTATACATTACACTACAGTACATCTAAACTTATCGCACCTGGTATTCCGAAGCAGTCACGCACATTGATACTGACCAAGCTCGACATTGCTTAACTTTGGTGACCGTACAGGAACTGGTGTTACAACGTGATATGGCCGTAAATTATACAAGCTGCACATCCAAGCTTACAGAACTTGGAATTCCAAAGCAGTCGCCCACATAGATTCTTACCAGGCTTGACGTTGCTTACCTTCGGTGAACGTACAGGAACCGGCGTGTCAACGTGATATGACCGTAAGACCTACAACCAGCACATACAAGGTTATCGCATATAGTATTTCCAAGCCGTCACCCATATAGGCACTGACCAGATTCGACGTTGCTTAAGTTCGGTCATCGCAAAGGAACTGGAGTTACAACGTGATATGAACGTAAGACATACCATCTGAACATCCACGTTTACAGAAACTGATATTTCCAATCTGTCGCCCACATAGGTATTGACAATGCACGATGTTGCTTCACTTTGGTGAACGTACAGGGACTAAACGTGATATGGCCACAAGCCGGAAATTAATTAAGCTAAACAGCATACATAATGGGCTGAAATGAGGAGAAAAGCGAAAAAAATAAAGGGTATGACTATGTATGTAATTATGATGAGACAGAGTAAGTTTGATAATATTGTGGGCTACAGCTGTCCCATAATATTTGAAATATTCAGTATATGAATCGTGTATACCAGTGTAGCAAACATTATGGGACAGGGAAATATAATAATATTATGGACTATAGCTGTCCCATAATATTTGAAATATTCAGTATATGAAATGTGTATGCCATTATAGCAAACATTATGGGACAGGGCAATATAATAATATTATGAAATACAGCTGTCCCATAATATTTGAAATATTCAGTATATGAAATCTGTGTGTCAGTTTAGCAATCATTATGGGACAGGACAATTATAGTATTATCTTGGACTACAGCTGTCCCATAATACTTGTAATGTTCAGAATACCAACTGTGTATACCAATGTAGTAATTATTAAATGACAGGCCATGTATAATAATATTATGGACTACCTCTGTCCCATAATACTTGTAATGTTCAGAATACCAACTGTGTATACCAATGTAGTAATTATTAAATGACAGGCCATGTATAATAATATTATGGACTACCTCTGTCCCATAATACTTGTAATGTTCAGAATATGAAATGTGTATTCCACTGTAGCAATTATTAAGAGACAGGCAAGTATAATACAATTGTGGAGTATATTTGTCTCATATCAGTTGTAACATTCGGTATATGAAATGTAGATGCCAATGTAGGAAGTATTATGAGACAGAGCAAGTATAATAATATTATAAAATACATATGTCCCATAATAGTTGTAACATTCAGTATATAAAATGAGTATGCCAAAGTAACAATTATTTTGAGACAGGGCAACTATAATACAATTATGGACTCCCTCTTCCCCACAAGAGTTGTAACATTCAGTATATGATATGTGTATGACAAGGTAGTATTTGTTATGTGACGGCAAGTGTAATAATCTGTCACGTAATAGAGATAATGTTAAGTATATGAAAGGCATATTCTTCTGGAACTATTATTATGATACATGGCAATTATAATAATAATAAGGACTACCACTGTCCCATAATAATTGTAACATTCTGTAATGAAATGAAATGCCTAGTTGTAATATTCAGTATACCAACTATTATGGGATAGAGGTAGTAATATTTATTAAGATGTATTGTCAATAATAATAATAATAAACTAGAAAAATGTAGCAATAATTATGGGATAGAGGTAGTACTGATTTTTATTATGTCATACCAATAATCAAAAGAACACACAATGTACCAACTATTATAGGACGTAGGTCAGTTAGTTATGTGCCATGCGTGATACACACTTAGGCGATCATGTATCTTTCGATACATGACTGACGAGGCGGATTTTTTTCCCGCAGTAGGTTGCCATTCTTTTCTGCGGTAGACCAGTTGCCATCGAAGGATATAGAACCCGATCTGCTCTGCTATTTACCCATCGCTGGGGGGAAAGTAAGAGGATTCATAGCTTTCCCAAGGGCCAGTTAGTTATGTGCCATGCGTGATCCACACTTAGACGATCATGTATCTTTCGATACATGACTGACGAGACAGATTTTTTCCCCGCAGTAAGTTGGCATTTCTTTCTGCGGTATACCAATTGCCAGCCAAGGCTATAGAACCCAGTCTGTCCTGCTATTTACCCATAGCTGGGGAGAGAAAAAGAGAATTCATACATTTCCCAAGGGTATTTGCACGTAAGTGAATGTAATTGATTCAACTGGAATTCGAATTCAATTTCAGCTACTATCCATTACTCCAGCGTGACTGATGGAGGTAGTAATAATTATTAAGATGCATTGCCAATAATAATAAAAATAGAAATATATAGAAATAATTATAGGACAGAGGCAGTAATGATTTTAGTATATCATACCAATAATCAAAAGAACACAAGGCAAGTGTACTAACTATTATTATGGGACAGAGATAGTAATATTTATTAAGATGTATTGCCAATAATGAAAAGAACACAAGGCAAATGTTCTAACTATTATTATGGGACTGACTTAGTAATATTTATTAAGATGTATTACCAATAATGAAAAGAACACAAGGCAAATGTACCAAAATGTTATGGGAAAGATGTAATAATATTTATTAATAAGGGTTGGCAATTATTAAATTAACACAAGGCAGATGTATTAACTTTTTGGGGAAGAATCTTGTAGTATTTATTAATAATCCTTGCCAATAATTAAAAATAACTTGACGAAAATATCAACTATTATGTGTAGATCTAGTAACATGTGTTTATATGTCGCTAATATTCAAAAGAAATCTAGGCAAATGTACCAAATATTATGTGACAGACGTAATAATATTTATTAATTATTATTTCCAATAATCAAAAGAAATATTTTCCAATATATCAACGACAATCGGGACTGACGTCGTAATTAATTATGGAATATTCATTAATTAGTCTTGCCAATAATCAAATGAATCTCGCAATAAATATTTTTACAAAATACAAATGTATTGTTTTATATATAAAAATTGATTTCCAAATATAAAGACATTTTTCGAAATCTAAAGCACATGCTGTTGGCAAAAAATATAAGAACTTTAGACAGAAAACATTTATGTAGCCTACATAAATTTTAGTGACTAACATCGATTCCATCTAAACTGAACAGGAAATGGTGAAACAAAAGGCCATCTGGCTAGTGCATAACGCTGAAGCAAATCTTACTATGCCTACATCTTATGTATGAAAGAAAAAAAGATATATATCTTGGAAAAGTCATAGGTATATCAAAGTTCAATGGTTTTACCATATTTTACAATCTTAAGATATCTTCTTTTTTTCAGTCTTATAAAAACTTTGCAGAAATCCTCCACACAGATTTGTTGAACCATCTCTGTTTTCCAGGACATAGTAGATTTCTGCTACTTTCTTTGACACTGTACCTCTAAAGATCTATGAAAGCGCCGCTGTCGACAATATTTTGTTTTGTTTTTTTAAACAATATCACCCCAAGCAAGCTCTCACTGAAGCATTTCTCTTTTGATACATCTGCTGCAGCTGCTGTTGAAGCTTTGCTGTCACGTGTCTTTCTTTCTTTATTAGAGGCTCCCATATTGTATTTATTTCCATGCTAGGCCTAATAACAATGACAATGATGAGAACAGTAGCTAAATAATGGTAACTCCTCATTCTCGTAATTCAAACAGAAATTCTGGGCTTAAGAACATCGATTCACTGTGTCGGACAAGACAATTTTTCTCTCCGGAAATTATCTTACATATCTATAAGTCTACCATTCGTCCATGCTGAGAATATTTTTAAGCGTTTCATCCCAAGCAATGTGGGAGTGCCACTAGCATGCAATGGGTTACAGAGAGTGAGAGCAAGAGTAAAGAGGGGTGTTTGAGGAAAGGATAAAGAGAAGGTCGGGGATCAAGGTCACGGCATCAGATGTCGATTGACATTACATTTGAAAATTTGAAGATTATAGCTATCAGGGAAGCAAGTAAGAGGGAAAGGAGTTCCACTACCAGAACGTGCAAGATAAGAAGCTGTTGGAGTAGAAGAGGCGGTTATATTTAACTGTTTCGACAGTGAAAGGGTGGGACCGAGATGCCAACCTAGTAGCACGCTTAAATTCATGCAGCTTGGAAACCAGAGAAAGTAGCTCGCCAGAGCAGTTGCCATGAGAATATTTGTAGAAAAGACAGAGGGAAGCCACGGCATGTCTGTGAGAAAGTGACGAGATGCTAGATCAGGACCTATCATATTGAATGTCTGTCTCTGGATTTTGCCGTGGACCTCAAAATGAACAGCGGGGGGGGGAACCTGACCATATATGGCAACAGTATTCAATGCAAGGATGAATGGTAGATTTGTAGATTTGAAGGAAGGACTCAGGTGAGAAAAACCTTCTGGCGCGACACAGAGAACCAACTTTCCTTGCGATAGATGCAGCTATTGATTCAATGTCGTTGTTCCATCTCAGGTCAGTAGAAAACCTTAGACCAAGCAGGCGCAGAGAGGCGGTCTTGTGCAGTTGGGCATCAGCCATGCTGATAGGAGTCAGGGAGGGTTCGCGATGCTGGGTAAATGAGAGCAGTTTCGTTTTGGAGGCATTAAAGTTTACAAGCCATTTCCTGCCCCAGGCAAATACAGATTGGAGGTCTTTTTATTGGAGATAAGCTGGTGATTGTCTTCTCGGCTTTTTTTGATTAAGCAACCATTTTTACCAACATTCGACCGTAGTCGGGATCATCGAGCCAATGCGAACGATCCTTTCTTTAGCTTTATAGTATGTGTTACGCCAGGGGATTTTAAGCATTTCACCCCAAACAAGGCAATAAAGCCACTAAGACACAAGAGGTTACTGAGTGTTAGAGAATATGAGAAAAATTATTATTAATGAGAGAAGACAATAAAAGAAGAAGAATTAAGAAGACACAAGATAACGATTGACATTGCATTTAATTTTTTTAATGTAAAAGGCAATAGAGCCACTAGGACGCAAGGGGTTACTGAGTGTTATAGAATAGGAAAAAAACTACTATTAAGAA